CATTCGCATATCACGTTTTTTCTAGAGATCACACAAGTTGTTTCCAATGGAGGTGTGCTCGCACTTTCCAGACCAGACACACCCAGTTGAATGAATCCTGCGAGCTATGGATTCTATGAATCCTGCTATGGCAACACCAAGAATTAAGAGTAAAATAAGCCTCATTTTTGTTTTTTGATTTACTTATTCATTTTTTATGTTTAATTATTATTTAAAGAAGGTTTTTCCTCCCCTTTGGTTTATTTTTCAGCTGGTTAAGTGTTTGTGTGCTTCAAAAATTCTTTGCTGCACTCTGGTGGGCTTTGGTCTATGATGTTGCCATAGAAATGGAATAATTTAGATTAATTTGCATTGTTTTTTAATGAAAGTCATTTAAGGAAATGAAAAACTAAACAGCAATTATTGTCTCAAAACGATTATTTTTTCTTCAGAAACAAAGCTGTTATGAACTAATTGCATATTGTTACCGGATGGCTGTTTGTCGATGGGTTGCTCTTTGTCTAATGATAAAGATGAGTCTCTAGTGCTGATAAACAGACTCATTTCGAAATGATTGGCAGACACACATAAATGCTCAACACACACTCAAAGCATTATGGTAATTTTTATTGCATTTAACATGGCCCTATTATGCTCTTTTGAATATAAGCTTCCATGCAGTGTGCAATGTAGCCGTTTGTGAATCTAAAAGCCCAGCAAAGTTTGAAAGATCAAAGTGCGCAATAATTAAAAGTTGTTTTATATTAATGATGTAAGAGCATATGGTTTAAATACATAGTTTCACTAACGGAAAATCCAAGCTTACTTTTCCATAATTAATGATGAGCAAAATGCTTGTCAAAGTCAAATTAAAAAAGCTTTTCAAGACATTTATATGACAATTATAAAATAAAATACACTACACTACTAGTTTGTTTTTTTCCACTTTTTAATGCATTCCACCAATCTCTGGGCAAAGACTATAGAATACACAAGACATGTCACGTGTATAGCTTTGAATGGGGAAAAGTTAAACGGTCAATATCTCGAATGAAGCCCCGCCTACTAGTACAGGAGCCAATCTGCGATCGCTATAGATTGACATTTCTCCAGGGAAAAAACTCAGACAGTGGGTCCGTTCTTGTACGTGGATTACTCAGTTAGGGTTTTTTAGGATTTGGGTATTGACGATTTGACACGATCCAGGATTGTTTCGTTCCCCAAAACTGATCCGAGAGTTGTTGTCATAGTGACAGGTCTAGCAGCTCAAATCTGGTCAGGAGCAGGCTTATTTCATATAAACAGGATTAGATCGGGTCAGTTTAAGCAAAGAAAATACTGAAAGTATGTACCGAACTCTGATATTTTCTTACAGTAGTAGTTATATACACTTGGGAAAATAGTAAATATTTTTAACTATATATATATATATATATATATATATATATATATATATATATATATATATATATATATATAATACATTTATGCAGTAATGAACATGTTATGACAGTTAATATGACGGTGATTTGATGCTTCACAAAAGTTGCAGACGCCTTTACCAGTATCAAAATGCTTTTGTAAACATCCAGTTATTCTTTACTCTGATTAAAAAATCACTACAATACTACTATGGCTACTATAATATAAAAAAAAAAAACTGCTCTAACTGTAAAACTAAAGAAACTGCTCTTGACACATGAAAGGGCCAAGCATGCAGCCTGCAACAAGGTGTAAAGTTATTGCGTATCATATTTAACAAACCATTTACCGCAAATTTTATGTAGTTTAGCTCACATAGATAATTGAATATTAATCTGATGATGTCATTACGCTGCTGTGCCATCAGCCAATCGCTGCAGTGCTGATCCTGATTTCGAGGATGGATAGATCAGCCCTGAACAACACATGCAGTGATCTCAGAACAGTTCATCCAGACATTTTAATCTGATTCGTGAACTTGTTTGAAAAACCAAACTAACCAGAGATCGGTTATCAAGATTAAAATATCCAGGATCTGCTAAACCATTTTAGACCATTATAGTGAGCTATGAAGAACAGACCCCAGATGTGTGCTTTTACGACAGTTTATGTGACCAACAAACATGCTGGAATACCAACGAATTTTTGCTTCACAGATATAAGAAATATATCCACATAAAGCTTGAAATCTGTACTTTTAAATGAAGCAAGTGTATTTAAAAAAAACATTTTTTTTTGTTTTAGTAATCTGAAAAATGAGATACAGTCCATCCTGTCAAACACACATCACATGACAGCAACTACTCAAACGCCCACAGACTTGTAAACAAAGAGTTGCTGTCATTTCTGAAGAAGATTCATCATCAAGACCAAGTTATAAATGAGGTTGGTGTCGTGATCTCGTTTCTTTTGAGTGGACATGCGCAATAGCTTGACATTTAGAAACTAAACTTATAAGATGGTTGTTGTTTAATATTATGGGGGTTCCAAATATTTAATGTTATCGTAAGCTTGATAAACAACTTTGAAAAATTTGATGTTTCCCCATTCAGACAGAATACCCAAGCATACCTCCCAAGAGGCATTTCAAAGATGGCTGTCGAGGGAACTGACTTGCCTTAAAGGGACTTTGCTCTGGGTCAGCACTTTTAGCTTAGCATAGATCTGCTGACTTCAGTGTATTTTTGTTCAACTAGATAGAGTTGGACTGTGTGTTAATCTAAAAGGTCTGCAAATTTTGCAAGATCAAAGTGCACAATAATTAAAAGTTATTGTGTTTTAATGATTAAGCGCATATGGTTTAAAGACACAGTTGCACTCATGGAAAATCCAAGTCCACTTTTTCTTATTAAATGATGGGGAAAATAATTGGTATTTCTAAAAGTTTTTTGTTTGTTTTGGGTGTAATATGCTATAAGCCAATCAGAGTCTAATCTCTTATCCCATTTAAAAGCCAGTTAAATGCATATACTGAATGTTTACATGGTGTTTGTTGCCTCGTTACAAACATATGAGGCAAGTTTCACAATATACACGTTCAACTAACAAAAGATAGATTTAAACAGACTTCATTGCTCTTCTGGGAGGTGGTGCTGAATGAATTAATAATTCTTATATTTATGATTATCATATGCTATAAATATGATTGTGTGGTCGCACAGTTAGTCATTCAGTCAATTAGACTGGCGGTCGTTCGACAGCGGCCTCTGGTGCGAACGGCACTCGCGAGAGACATTTGAGATACGAAAAAGCGCACACAGTGGCCTCCTGTGGATTTGCGAAAACAAAAACTGCAAAATACGTACCTTCCGGAGTGTATTTTGCCGTCTCCAGAAACGTTCACGGGCCTACGTTTTCAGAATGAGCCTGGGTTGATTTAAATGGGCTGAAATCAAACAGGTGACATGGTGGTGCAGTAGGTAGTGATGTCGCCTCACAGCAGGAAGGTCGCTGGTTCGAGCCTCAGCTGAATCAGGTGGCATTTCTGTGTGGAGTTTGCATGTTTTCCCCACGTTCGCATGGGTTTTCTCCAGGTGCTCCGGTTTCCCCCACAGTTCAACAACATGCGGTACAGCGACATGCCAAATTGTCTGTAGTGTATGAGTGTGAATGAGTGTGTATTGATGTATCCCAGAGATGGTTTGCAGCTGGAAGGGCATCCGAAAAGAAACTGAATGAATGAATGAATGATTGAATGAATAAATTTAAACAAACAAATTAAATTCTTTTTTTATGTTCATTTTTTTGTTTGACTTAATTTGTTTGTTTAAATTCAGACCATAAATTGTTTGCAACCACTTAACTTAAAAAATGAGTAAATGAAACGATACGTTTTTTTTTCCAGTGTATCTCATAAATATACGTAGCAAATTTCACAATATTCATGTTAACCTAACAAAACACACAGACTTTATGACTCTTCTGATTTAATTAATAATTATTTTATTCAGCATTGTTCTTTCTGATGCCAAACAGTGAACACTATATGTGAATAATATGAATGTGCGATGATCTTTGGCATAGGGAGAGCAGCTCAATGTGTTTGGAGGTTAAAAGGTTTCATGCTGCGCTCAAAGAATAAAGAACAAGCTCATCTCAGCATGGAGCAGAAAACATCATCAATCTCCAGAGCAGCAAACTCATGTGCTCCTTTAACACAGAACCACCAGAAGCTACAGACAAATATTTGCATGTATTTTGTTAATTATTTTACATTCTGATTACAGTGTAGTAATGTCTCTGTGAGCTCTTGAATATCATGAATGATTGGTTTGTTTCCTGTTCAGCCTATAAAAGTTGCCAGGCAGGATTTCTGTGTTGTGGAAACCCGACGTCAGGTTGCCAGCATTGTCAGAGCTTTCTCTTCATTCAGCTGTTTAATATGCCTGACAGGAGCTCAGAAACCTTCAGCCACATGCAAAACCCAGAGAAACCACAAAATGACCCTGCAGGAGCACAGGTAAATGACCTACTGCCTATCTCAGAACAGATCTTCACATACAGAATTCATGAAGAAATTATAATCAACATTATCTGTTTGATGTAATGAAACAAATGAAATGTGCTCATATTTTCAAATATTATGAGTATAGTTTGTTTATTGCTATACATTTTAAAAAATACAGAAGTGGGTAACAGTTTCTCTGAAGTGGACGTTTATAAGACTGTCATGACACCTCTATTATATTAATGCATGTTGTAAATATGAAGATTTTATGAATGCTAATGACAACTGCCATTAAGTGTCATTTTCTCAGTTATGCCATTTTAAATGCAAAGATGACATCAGAATAAACAGCAAATGTCAGTCCAAGGAACTCGAAAAATGTGGAAAAAATATTAAAATACCTTTATTGACACGGCTATTCCTTAAAACTGCACATACGTGTTTCGGCAAACACTTGATTTCATCAGGGTAATTGTTAAACTGAGCCATTTCATGCATTTGCAAACTGTATAGTTGAAATCAACACAGGCTCATTCTGAAAATGTTTTCCCTTGGACGTTTCTAGAGAAAGCGAATTATGTAGCCGGAGGTACTTATGGCTGCATTTCATGTTTTAAGCGAATGCTACGGGGCGGTATGGCGCTGTTCCTTTTTGCGCTTGCCGGCTGACCGCTTACCTTCGTGTCGAGGGCTTTCCCATGGCAACCAATTTGTCCAGTGAGCTTGTCGTGTACTTCGGCGCACTTGAGACACAGAGAGGAGTTGACCACGATGACGATGACTGCGTTCAAGTCTGGGGAAGGAGCGGTTCCAGAATTCAGGTAAGACAAAAACAGAATACAAAAAATAAAATGAACGAGTAAACAACAGGGTGAGAATGTGGTAAAATCCGAAAAAGTGGTAAAAATCAAACGAGGGCTTTTCTTTTTCTGAATGGGTTTTGCAAATTGTTGGTTGGGTTTAGGGATTAAAGTGGGTTGGTGGGTCAATCGGTAAAACTAGTTGGGTTTAAGGAAGGAGAAGAGTGGGTCAGTCGATTGGCCGGTCGCACAGTCAATTATACAGTCAGTCAAACATACGGTCATTCAACAGCGGCCTCTGGTGGGTTTATGCGAGAACAGCATGGGCTCAAACGGCACTCGCGAGAGACATTTGAGATATGAAAAAGCACACACAATGGCCTCTCGTGGATTGGCAAAAACAAAAATGCAAAAATACGTACCTCTGGGGATGTATTTAGCGTTCTCCAGAAAAGTCCAAGGGACTACATTTTCAAAATGAGCCTAGGTTGGTTGATATAGACATACATAGGGTAATATCTCAACTGGATTGTGTTTGGATGTTATTATTAAGCATGCTTTTGTTGTTTTTTTCCCAGATAAACATGGATTCATATGATTTCCCTTCACATGATGCAATCTCTCAAATCCTCCAGGAGTATCTTCAACTCAAAAGTCCCAAAACTCAAACCAGGACAGAGTCTGTACCACAAAAAAAGGCTAACTCTCAACTGAACCGAACGTTTGATGTGAATTTAGCACACAAAAGGTAAAAAAGACGGTAGCCAAATATACAGTTGAAGTCAATATTATTAGTCCCCCTTTGATTTTTTTTTCTTTTTAAAATATTTGCTGAAAGATGTTTAACAGAACAAGGAAATTCACAGTATGTCTGATTATATATTTCCTTCTGGAAAAAGTATTATTTGTTTTATTTTGGCTAGAATTAAAGCAGTTTTTGATTTTTTTTTAAAACAGTTTTATTGTCAAAAATATTAGCCTCTATAATCAACTATTTTTTCGACTTGCCTATTTACCCTAACCTGCCTAGATAACCTAATTAACCTAGTTAGGCCTTTAAATGTCACTTTAAGCTGACTTGATAAATATCTAGTCAAATATTATTTACTGTCATCATGGCCAAGATAAAATCGCTCAGTTATTAGAAATCAGTTATTAAAACTATTATGATTATAAATGTGTTGAAACAAATCTTCTCTCCGTTAAACAGAATTTGGAGGAAAAAATAAACAGGGGAGCTAATAACTCTGACTTAAACTGTATGTTTAAACTTGTATTGTCCATTTATTGCTGTAAATATTTCCATTTTAGTCCTCCAGCGTCTGATTTAAAAGATGAGTCCCATAATGGCGAAGTCAGTGAACATCAAACTAAGGTGCGTAATTAAACTGCAAACACAATAACCAATGGCAGAAACTCTAAAATCTGCTAATCACAACACATAATCATTCTTAAGACGTATATACATATCTGGAGATTTTGAATTATGTGGCCAGAGCTACGTATGGCTGCATTTCGTCTTTAAAACAAACACTACAGGGCGGTATGACGCCATTCCTTTTTGCGCTTACCAACTGACTGTTTGCATCCATATGGACAACTTTCCCATTGTTACCGCTTTGTCCAGTGGCTCGCCATGTACGTTGGTGGACACAGAGAGAAGTTAATTTATTCTTTATTAGATAAAATAAATGTAGAATAAATGTATTTTTTCTACATTTAAAGGTGTACGTTTGACACCAGTGGTTGAACTAGGTATTGCATTCCTGGATCAAAATGACCAAAAGTGCAGGTTGCCAAATTGAGGACCAACAGGAGCAAGTGACTATCGAGGCTAAAGGCTGATTTAAATTGTGTTATAAATAAAGCAACGGCACGCAATAGAAGGAATATTATCCATATAAAAAGTTCTCGGTATTTAGACAACTCGAATTGATATACAGGGTATGCTTCTATTTTTTGCAGCTGAACAACAAAAAACTGACATTGATCACCTCAGGTACACCTCATGTTCTTTATTCAGTGTTAAATTCTAATGCTGTGAGTTTGAATGCCATTTTACATGACATTTATTGCCGTACTACTGAAAGCAGCAGCAGTTCATCTCAGATCTAGAAAATTAAATAAACCGTTTGAAAATTAACTTTAGGCCTGTGACCTACACATATCAGTGCTTCAGCATCTACATTTAATAATGTTAAAGATGTTTTCCATGTATTAATTCGATTAGCACCCTTACCATTTCATGAATGAGTGCACTATTCTGTGCTGTCGTGTTTCGTCTAGTGCAAACAGCCAAATTGCTTATCACTGCAAATCTCTTCACAAAGTGTGTTGTTAGGACACGTGGTAACAATGTAACCTGTTTACCTAATGTTTATGTTTGTAATATTTATATTATTTGCTAATTAATGACCTAATGTGGAACTGAATCTGTGTTTCATTTTGGAGTCTGCTACTGTCCACCAGAGGTCGCATTTTAGTCTTGGACGCATGCTTGGAGAGCCTTTCTGAATGAATGAATGAAATACACGGTTTTCCACCGAGGCAACCCAGGGTGCTGAAATATAATTAGCTAAACTAGCAGTGGGCAGGTTAAAGAATCCAAAACAAAGACAGTCTTTCCAGCACATAACACACATTTTCAAAGCGGAATATCTGTACTTTAGCTTTGTTTTTCAGATAAACCTGAATGTTCACTTGGCATGTTTCTTAAATATCTGCAAACATATAATGGTATTTTTATGCATTAGAACAGTGGTTCCCTTTTTTTGCCTTTTTGTCAAGTGACCCGCGATGCACTCGCAGGTCGCGGCCCGGGGTTCATTGATGCAAGTGTGTCACATGCGCGGAAACTGCGCACCTCCATTGGAAACAACAAACTTGTGCAAACTTTAGAAATACGTGATATGCAAACACCCCCTAAAAGGCCACCGTCATTTGCAATTTCCATCAGGTGATCTTCTTGCACAGCCATGGTGGATTCACCTGATATGTTGACAAATTGGTTGCGGATCTATTCCTTGTCAGTTCGCAGGTCGTTCACTGGGCCTTTTTTCCTTTAGCAAAGAAACTTTCTAAAGACGTCTATTTCTTACTCATTTTGCTGCTTGTACAGTAGGTTAAATTTGGGTGCTCAGGTGACCAAGACGTAAGCGAGATGGTCAGTTTTCAAAATAAAAGAATTTTCAAAATAAAAGATCGTTCAGAATTACATAAAAAATAAAACAGAAATAATTAATGATTTCTTCTGCGGCCCAGTACCAATTGATGACGGACTGGTGGTTGAGGACCACTGAGCTAGGTGATAAAATGAACTAAGGCAACATGATCATTCTCCTAATTGTCCACTGCTAAGATTTTTTAAAAATATAAAACGACTCCCCACAAAGCTCGCTGATTCCCCCTTGTGGGCTGCGACACCCCTGTTGGGAACCGCTGCTTTAGAAGACTCAAAAACGTACATACAGCACCTTTAAAACTGACACATAATGCATGTCTACATACCTAATACATTCTACACAAACTTTGCTGTTTTCAAAGATTCCCATATTGTGTGTTTGCAATTTGCACTTTAAAATCCAAAATTACATTGCCACGTAAACGAATAGACAAAACACATATAAAGTTTCATGTTTTTGGCTGATGTTATGACAATGAGACTCCATTACCCCTTTTTCTCTCCTTTTTTGTTGCTGAAGTAATTTCATTACCAAAGTTAACATCTAGATGTCCAGATGCTTTTTCGGCCACACTTCTAAAAGAAACATTTAATTCTGTGTTTTCTTGCCTGTTTTAATAACTGCCACAGGGGGATGTACCAGATGCTTTTAAACATGCAGTGTTTAATCCTCTCCAGATAAAACCTTCTCTTGGCCACTCTGTTCTTTCCAGCTTTAGGCAAATTTCACATTTATATTGTCATTCTAGTTTTTTTTTTTTTTTAATTTATTTTGTATTATTATTATTGGAGATAATCTTGTGTCTGCAGGTAGTTCCTTTTACATCATGGCTTGGTTTTACATTTACTTTGTTTCATTTTTTAGTACATTTAAAGATTTGAACTTTAACTCAAGCATATTTTTAGAGGAAAAACTCTTAAGCTGCGGTCACATTGGTCTTTTCTCACCATAGGCTTCCACTCATATGAATGCGAATGCGTCAGACCGGAAACGCAAGCTTGTGCGACAAGTTTTGCAGTTCGCTGTGATGCACAGTTCAAACTTGGTGAACTCTGACCTGCGAAATTGCATCACTTGACTGCATGAGACCAATCAAGGGTCAAAACATGACCTCTCTTACAGAAATTTAAAATATGGAGCAATCGCTTGCTTTTTTAAATGAATTTCACAAGGTCAAACTTTAGGGTGACCGCAGCTTTTACTTTTTGTTACATTTTGCAGCATTCCTCCATTACTGTGAAGCGGTAATAAATTTGATTGATTCATGTTCCTTGTTCGCAAATATCTTGAGGTATCATGTAGAAGTGGTTGTGTGGCGAAAGACTGCTATAGAGATGTGTCTCCTGCTTTCGTTTATCGAGTGCTTCAGTGTGAATGATGTCTAAAGACATGCAAGTTTATCGGATCACATCACCTGCAGCCTCAAGTTCAGTCTATGTTTTCACTGTTGTCAAAAACAGATTTGTGATGCTGTACATCAAGCTAACATTGTAAAATTAAAAGTAACTAGTAACTAGTTACTTGAGTATTTTTTCATGGAATTCTTTTTACTCTTACTCAAGTTACTTTTACAATCATTACTTTTATATTTACTTGAGTAAAAATTTCCGCAAGGTCTTGTATTTAAACTTGAGTTTAGATTTTGGTTACTCTACCCACCTCTGGATATTCATCAGCTGTTAGTCCTTATAATTGGTATAATTATACGGTATAATTTGTTTTAGCCTTTGTGTGGTTTGAAGTGTAGACCAAAGTGGGAAAAAGTAACATAAGGCTGTAACATTACAAAATTGCCTTTGTAAATCTCTGTAGGCTAGACGTTTACGAGGCATAATACAATCAACAATAGTATCCTTATTGTAGTTCAAGGGTAAACAAAACAGTCAAGGCTTACTTGACATTGGGACGGGGAACAACTGCAAAGTTGCTTCAACCATCCATCACTGACCATGACAGCCAGTAGACATTTGAAGCTAGAATAGTGGATTCAAAGTCTGCAAAAGAGAAACCGCATCATGGATGTAAATTTATTGACAAAGAGAACTGTATGCATTGCACATACTGTAGTTCGGGAAAAGGCAACAAACAGTAGTTAAGTGAAAAGTATTTTTTAAACTTGTTAAATAGTAATTAATAGCAGTAGCTGTTAATATGTAACAATCCGTGCAACCAGGGTCCGTGTACATTTAAGACATTTCTTGGGTCTGCACTGTTTTGGGTCTCATTTTTAATAAACATTCAGATCTGCATCTGTTCTGTACACAGTGTTGTCCTGGAACCGTCTGTGTTTACTCTTAAAGTCAAACACAATTAATGGTTTCTTTGAATTTTAGGACCCGTAAAGACCTATACATCACAGTGTCATGGAATTTTTACATGAACTTACCCAAGCTAAATAGAAATACGTGTCCAGGGATACATTTTTTTGCGAAACATGAAATACATTGCTCTGACAATATTTCCTTGTAGCTTGTGATCCAAAATCCAGAAGTTGTGGCTACATAGTTTTACCATGATTTTACATCACTTTTACCAGTTCAGTGAAACCCTCCTTCACTGGATTCTAACTCAGGCAAGTACAACACAGTACAAGGTGAGCTACCAACCAAACTGACCACAGTAGAAAACAACACAGGCTCACTGTGAAAACGTACATTATACGTATACATTTCTGATGAGCATGAATTATGTAGCCAAAGCTACATATGGCTGCATTTTGTCTTTAAAATTAATGCTACAGGCTAGTATAATGCTACCAGATTGCCTTGCTTCAAAGTGGATGGCATTTCCTAACCCTAACCGTGACCATGGGGGTTGACTCTGGTGAAAAATGATTCCAGAAAGTAGGCAAAGCAAAAACAAAAGGCAAAATATTAAATAAAAGAAGTAAATGACAGGGTGAAAATGTGGTAAGATCGAAAAATGTAGAAATCAGGCTGTCACGAGGGCTTTTCTTTTTCTGGATTGCTTTTGAAAACACTGTCGGTTGGGTTTAGGGAAGAGTCACTTGACAGCAGCCTCTGCTGGATTTACAGCAGAACAGCAGGTGCGAATGACACTCTCCAAAGAAAACTGAGCTCTGAAAAAGCATTCATTGCAGAAACAAAAACTGCAAAAAACATATCTCCTATTTCACACTATCCAGAAATGCATACAGGGTACATACGGTACCTGTAATGACCCTGGGTTGGCA